CACCGTGGGGAGGCTGACCCTATTGACTGCATCCACTGGATGGGGTTGGGCGCCTCCAGTGAAGAGCCCCCGCAGGAGACTGGAGAGTGTGAGGAGAGTGATCAAGCTCTCTGCAGCGGATCCCCAGCCGGCTGTATCCCTCCGTGGAAGCTCACATCTCCTCTGGGCAGTGCTATTCCCTCACCCTGAGGCCTAAGAACAGTAAGGACTCCCCACTTTTACTAGCCCCAGGTTCTGCACTTGCCCCTGTGGTTTCCCTACACCCCTTCCACACCTTTGCAACCCACTGCCATGGAGTCAATTGAGATTCATAGCAACCCTAAAGGACAGAGCAGAACTGCCCCATAGCGTTTCCAAGGCTGTAAATTTTTACAGAAGCAGACTGCCTTATCTTTCTTCCATGGAACAGTGGATTCGAACCACTGACCTTTTAGTTAGCAGCCCAATGCTCTAACCACTGCACTATCAGAGCTCCTATGCCTTTGCATGTAGGCCCTTTATTAAACACTCTTCATATTCTCCATTTCAGTGGGCATCTGCTGGTCTTGACTGATATGGTTTCTTTGAGCACCATGGCTCTTACAGCTAGTTTCATTTATGTCTTTCTTCCCCCCTTGGATGGTGAGCTCCTTGAGGGCAGGGACATGTCTGTGCCAGTGTGTACTTCAATGCAGAGAGAAGACACTTGAAAAGTGTTCTTGACTCTGCACCAAAGTGCTGATAATCCCATATTTGTATGTGGTATTCATTCATTCACTCAATTTGCCCACAAATACTTACTGGATGTTTGCCGTGTGCCAGACTCTGGCAGTGGTGAACAAGATGTGGACTGCCTTCATGGAGCTGACACTGTGGTGTGGGGAATCAGGCAATACATAAGCAAAAGCATATAAATAATACTTCAGATGGCAGTATGTTCTATGAAAGAAATAAAGGAAGGCAAAGGGGCCCAAAGTGATGGGGATGCTACTTTAGATAAATGGTCAGGGAGCCTTCTGAGCAGAGATGTCAGTGATGCTGTGGTAGAAGGGCATTCCATGAAGAGGAATCAGGAAACATCAAGGGAATGACCTTAGTCTATTTGGGACACAGCAGGGAGGCAAGGGGGCTGAGACAGGCTGGGGGAGACTCATAAGATATGGGACTGGAGTCTTGCTTTCTTGTAAGGCCCCTTCCAAATCGAGATTTGAGGATTCCTCAGGGAAGCCCTTGCCTGGGCCAACCACCTACTCAATCCATCAGGCAGAGGGTCCTGTGGGAGGCCCTCACCATGTTTTCTCACTTCATTCTCATAATAACCTTGTGAGGAGGGTGTTTTTACCCCCATTCCACAGATAGGAAACTGAGTCTCAGAGAGATTAATCAATCTTGCCAAGGTTATACAGAGTCAGGGAAAGAACTGAAAATGAACCCAGTTCTACCTGATCTGCAGCCTAGAGGATATTTCCCTGGGGCTAGTGCATCAGTCATCAGTGACACTGGTCCTACATGGACAGGCTGGCAGCATGATCCACAGCTCCCACCCAGGGATAGGCATGTTCCAGGGTCACCTAGAGCCAGTGAAGGAGGGAGCTGGGATTCAACCTGGGCTCCTTCTACAGCTCCCACTCTCTGCAAAGGGAAAATTGGTAGGGAGCAGGAGAGCTGTACCATGCCTGCCATGCCCTGGCACTCTTCCAGGGCCAGGACGTGCTGGCTAATGGGTATCATTTCTGCTCTCTCATTTCTAATAGACACTATGCTGTCATAAAGACTGTCATTTCCCGAAGCTCTCTCAGGATAATCAACATGCTGGCTGCCCAGAGGGCTGGGAATGGCAATATCTGGGCACATCTGTGAAGCTAAAACCATCCTCTTGCTCTCTGCTACTCCAGTCTTTTCCAATCAGACATGGCCTTTGGGTTTGAGGGCATTGGCTTGGGATCCTACGAGGCTCCAGGTCACTGTATAGTCCCCCCATTTCAGAGAAGAACTGGCACCTCTCAACCTATCTTCAACATTTTATAGCCATGTGACCTTGGGCATGGCATTTTTCCTCCCCAAGTCTCAGTTTCCTCCTCTGTAAAGTGGGGATAATTATACCTACCTCACAGAATACTGAAAATACCACAGACTATCAGAAGAACAGGAGCTCTGGTAGCTTAGTGCCTAAGGCACTTGACTGCTAACCAGAAGGATGGCAGTTCAAACCCATCAGCCACTCCTCAGAAGGAAGATGGGGCACTCTACTTCTGTAGTGATACTGCCTTGGAAACCCAAGGAGGGGTGGCTATGAGTCAGGTCCGACTCGATGGCACATAACACCACCACCTCACAGTTTGGCTTAAGTGAAATGACACATTTTAAACATCTGACACATAGTTAGAAGCTCTGAGGGTGCTGTGGTTAAAACAATGAATGGGCTGCTAACCAAAAGGTCAGAGGTTTGAACCCCCAGCATTTCCACGGGAAAAAGATGAGGCACTTGCTTCTGTAAAGATTTATAGCCTTGGAAACCCTATAGGTGGTTGCTATGACTTGGAATTGACTTGATGGCAGTGGGTGGGTGGGCCACATAGTTGGTGTTTAGCAGTTGGTAACTATGACAGTCATGAGGCTGGAGGTAATAATGATGCTCATCACATTTTGTAGATGGAGAAACTGAGGCCAGAGAAGAGAACGGGCTCCCCCGAGGTCATGTAGCAAGTCAGTGGCAAAGCTGGGCCTACACCTTCTATGTAGTCAATGGTAATAGCTGACTTTTATTGAGTCTTTCCTATTTGGTGGTTACTGTCACACATTATCTCATCTAATTATCACAAAAAAACAATGAAGTGGGTGTTATTATTCTCCTTACTTTGCTGATAAGAACGTGGAGCTTAGAAAGAGTTGCCCAGGGTCACACAGTAGTAAGTCGTGTAGCCCTGGTTTGACCCAAGATGCTCTGGCTGCAGAGCTAGAGCTCTGGTCTCTGTGCAGTGAGGCATGAAGATCAGCTTCTAGAAGTAGAAATTGAGGTCCCCAGCTTTTCCACGTGTGCATGCATGCACACACACACTCACACACAGTTTTGAGGATTAGGCTTGGCATAGGCTAGGCTATTGTCTCCCCTACCCTGATGAGCTGACAAGGACAAGGCCCAGCTTGGGTCCACCTGTCCCAGCTCTCACCAGCTTCACCCCAAGGTCCAATCCATGGCTCCTGGAGGGAAGAAACCCCAATGGCCCTCAAAGAGTATCTGTTGTGTGTCCAGTCCTTCACAGACTGAGGGAAACTGAGACCCGGGGGTTATGTGAGTTGTTCACAAAGCAGGATGGCTCAGTGGCTGGGGTTGTCTGAGAGCAAGAACATAGATGGAAGAGAAAGAAGAAAAAATCTCTGGTCCAAACACTCCAGGGTGGCAGTCAGGACTCTTGGTGCCTTATCTACCCTGACAGACTTCCTTAATCCTTAACGTTGCTGCATCCTCATAGAAAAATAGGAACTGTTGTTTCATTTTGCAGATGGAAAAATCAAGACTCATAGAATCAAAGTGACTTGCCCAGACTCACACAATGGATAAGAAGCTGGGACTTGAACTCAACCCTCCTAATGTCCAGGCAACTCTTTTTCCCTTACTCAATTCATTTCTTACTTTGTTGGCTCTTTTCTCTCTAGTTTTCTTGCAAGTTACGAGCTCAATTATCCTTTCCCCTCCCAAGTTATGCGCCATCAGACTGTAAGCATCTTGAGGGCAGGAATCTCATTCGATTTGTTCATGGCTTATGCCTAGAGCCTAGAACACCAGGCACAAAGCTGGAAACTAGTGAATGTTGGGTTACTGAATTAATTGTAATTTAGCTACAATTTTCCTTAATTGATACAGGTGGCCAGCATGTTAATTTCTGTTATTATGGAAGAACTCACTTCAGTGATTCAATATATAAACATAAAGGTAAATAGGAAAAAAAAAGTGGTATATTATCCATTTATTTTTGTTTAAATTTTGTTTATTTTTTATTAACAAGATCGCTCCACATCTTGATATTTAGTGCTCTCAAGAAGGGTAGACCAATTTGCATAAGAATCCTGGAGGTCTTCTCACAGGGGAAGTGTTAATATCCACACCCCTCTTCCCTGTGATGAACTTAGAAAGATGTAGGTAGACTAGAGTAGCTCTGAGTTAAGAGCAGGAGAAGTCTCAGAGGACTCCAAAGAGAATTCATCTGAGATCAAGGATGGGCTGGTGATCTGAGTTTAACAACAGGGATGAAAAAGAGGTACATGGAACTACATTCAGCTTTTCAACAAAGATCACAAGACATTGGAAGAAAAACTCCAACATGAAAGACACCAGCCCTCAGCCTCCAGCCTCACTACTGAGCACACTGTGAGGCATCTGACCCAGCAGGGCATCACAACCTCAGTGGACAAGCACCTACCAAGATGCGGAGGACCAGTCTTCAACAGTGACACTGAGTGTCACGGACTGAAATGACAGTACTACTTGGAGTTTCAGCTTCCTTTGTCTATGTTTGGAGTTGGCCTCGTTTGGACAAAGTCTTAAGGATCTTGTGTCAATTCAAGAAGGCGGAAGCTGCTAGATGAATACCGGATGTCCTGCTAATGAAGATTTGGGATAAGTGATTAGTTGGAAAAGTAAAAGATGCTCTTATTGGTTCTCATACTAGCTCCAGAATGAGTCAGTTTTATTCACACAGTCATCAGTGACCATACTATACAAAATTGACAAATAACACACATGGAGAGTTCTTTTGTACAGCAGAATACCCTCAAAATTAATAATAACACTTGCATGCATGTACATGACGTGCTATAGTATACAGAGCTCTTCTCTGAGCCTCATGCCAGCCTATGAGGTAGGCAGAGTAGAATGATTCTCCCTGGGAAGCTGAGGCTCAGAGAAGGACAGCAACTTGCCCAAGGTCACCAATGAGTCAGCAAGGCCCCATCCCACCCTGTTGTGGAGTCCCCAAGCTGCCTCCTAGGGATGCCAGATGCCAGGTCCCTATCCTGTCTGTTCACAGCAGCATCAGGACCACAATGGCAATGACCATGAGGATTCCAGCCAGGATGCAAAGGCCCAGGAAGACAATGTCACTGGTGTCCTGGGCCACCATGGCCACCTGGCCTTCCAGTGCCTCCACTTCGGCCCTGGGTGGCGCTTCTTGAAGGTGCTCAGCAGTGGCAGTATAGGGCCCAAGCCAGTGGGAGCCAGACAGCAGGTGGACAGAAGCCTCCTTGCGTCGTGGCTCACAGAGGACCTCATACTCATGGATGTCCTCCTGCTCGCCAGCCGAGAAGTCGATGTACAGCATGCTGACGATCAATGAAGTGTTGTTTCTTCTCTGTGGGGTCATGAGAACATTCACTCACACCTACAGGGATCTGAGCTGACCCTGCTCCCCTAGGTATTTGGGACTCAATCCCAAGGGAGCAGAGGCCCAGGAACCTTCTAGCCCCAGCTCAGCCACTGACCCCCTTCCCACTCTGAACCTCATCTGTAAGAAAGGGTCAGAGAGTCTCTGGGTGGTGCAAACGGTTCACGTGCTCAACTGTTAACCCAAAGATTGGAGGTTTGAGTCCATTCCGAGGCACCTCAGCAAAAAGGCCTGAGGTAAAATAAACCACCCAGAAAGGGATCAAAATCAGAGGTTCTGCATAGAGTGGGAGAAAAATGTAAAAGAAAAAAAACATTTAAAAGACCAGGATCACTAGTGAAACACCTGAGACTATGGCCCCTAATCTCCCTTCGGGCCTGGAGTTGAACTCACTCCCATGGCTTAACTCTCTGCCAAACAATAGGCAGGCCTATGAACTGGATAATTATACCAGGGAGATACACCCCTTAGAACAATCAACCACAGGAGATCAGGAGGGCAGCATTTGTGCAGGGAGATCGCTCAGGGGACAGGAGCGCATAGAAGGACATAGGGAAAAGGTAACCACAGGGAGGAAGTGTGAAGAGAGCTATTACACTGTGGGGATTATAATCAATGTCCTGAAATGTGTATGAACTGTTGAATGGACAATGAATCTGCTTTGTAAAATTTCACCCAAATCACAATAAAAAGTTGGAAAAAAAAAAAAAAAAAGGCCTGGCTATCTACTTCTGAAAAATCAGCCATTAAAAGCCCTCTGGAGTAGTTCTACCCTGACACACATGGGTCACCATGAGTCAGAATCAATTCAATAGCAACTTTGTATTTATTTATTTAATGAGGGTGAGATGTCTGGAAGAACAGGATCTGATTTGCTGGGCCTAAGTTCTCTGTCTTCAAAGAGATGGGGTCTATGAAAGATGGTAACAATAATAATAACAGGTCAAATTTTGGGGACATTTGACAAGTTCTACAAAAAACAAAACGAAGCAACCTGTTGTTGTTGAATCAATTCTGACTCACGGCGACCCCATGTGTCACAGGGTAGAACTGCTCCATAGGGTTTTCTTGGCTGTAATCTTGATGGAAGCAGATGGCCAGGTCTTTCTTCCCTGGTGCCTCTCTGCCCCCAGGCCCCAAGTTCCACAGGCTCTGTATTTAAGTGCATTGTGCACTGCTGTCGAGTCAGATCCGACTCATAGTGACCCCTCCTTGGGTTTCCGAGGCGGTATCACTACCAAAGTAGATTGCTCAACCTTCCTTCTGTGGAGTGGCTGGTGGGTTTGAACCACCAGCCTCCTGGTTAGAAGTCAAGTGCCTTAGGCACTATGCCACCAGAGCTCCCATTATCTTATTTAATTCTCACAACAATCCTCTCTAACTGGTACTGTTACTACTCCTGTTTTGCAAATGAAGAAACTGAGGCCCAGAAGTTAAATCCCTTCTCTGAGGTCAGACAGCAAGCAAGTGTCAGAGACCATGTTCTCAGATCTGTCTGACTCAGCACTGAACTCGGCCATTGTGCCTTACTTGGACCAAAGAATGTGGCACTAAAGGGGACTTTTCAGAGCATACAGTCCAATGCCCTTTCCTTGGCAACTCTACAGATGTGACTATGGAGGCCCAGCGAGGGCAGTAACTTTTGCAGAGCTAAATCCTGAAGCCAGGTCTCCTGCCGTCCAGGTAGAAGCTCTGTCCCTGGTAATGTGTGATTTTCCTTCTGGAATCTTTTTTCCCAATTATGTTGGCAGCATGTGTCCTGCTGTTGAATCCCTAGTCAACCGAACAGCATCTCTAGGGTTGGGAAGAGTAAATGAGGAGCTAGATGTGGGGACCCTGACACACTGTACCCCACCACATCCCCACAGGGGAGGGAAACAGGAGTCAAGTCACCCTGAGATTGTAGGGTGACTGCAGGGCAGCATTTTGATGGGCCATTTGGTGCAGTCTGGAGAGGGAGGCTGTAGTGATGCAGGGCTACTCTTCCCACCCACCCAAATCTGCAGCCTCTATTACACTCCTCAGGCTGCCCAAATACACCTGGCCGAACAGGTGGCACTTCTGAGGTGCTTCTTCTGAAAACAGAAGTTATCTATACAGGAGCTAGCAACCTTGAGGAATAAGAAGTGCTCATCACTGGAGACTGAGGGACCCCTTTGTTAAAGGGGTGAAGCAGAGTCACAACTCAGGAGAGCACAGGAGGAGGTGATATTGTAGGTCTTTTCCTGCTCTGGGCTTCCAAAACCCTCCGATTCCATGTTCCTCACAAGAGTCTTCTTATTTGTGCCCTCAGTCTGTCTACCACCTCCACCCTCTGAGAAGAACTTGTCTCCTGAATATCTGTGGTACAGAATCAGGCACCGGGCAAAGAAAGGCAAGACCTGAGAGTGGAAGAGGATTTAGTGAAAGGGACAAAATAAATCTATACAGAAAGGAGGAAGAGAATCACACAGGAGGGGGAGGGAGGAGTTTGGGAGTTTCTGATGAGTGAGAGACTTGAGGAAAGAAAAGACCAGAAAGGTGTGGTGTTGATGGTTATGAAATCAAGTCTCTAATGTTTTTTTAATAGATGCAAGAAAAGATTGGAATGACTTTGTTATTGCTTTTGACTACTTGAGCTATGCTGCTTTGAAAGCAACTCTATGCAGAAACTGGTCTTCGTGGGTCTAACATTTATAGGGGTGACACTAAGAATCTATGAGTCTAAGATTCTCAGATTGTTCGTTTCCAAGATATTGACTCAAGGATTCTATGATTCTGAGATCTGGTGGTGGTTCTGAAGCTGAGATTCTGAATTACAGAGTCCTTAGTTCCAGGATTTTCGTGATTCTCTGCTTCTGAGATTCTTGGTCTCCATCATTTTATGACTCCATAGTATGTGTTTCAGTCTCAGAGAAAAGCCTGGTGAGACTTAGGGCATGGAGTGGGGGTGAGGGTGGAGTATCTTGGCAGCTAGGATTAACCTCCCAACTTTCTCCTCTTCTCAGGTCAAAAGGATAGTGACTGCAGGAGGCTGGGGAAGGCAGAGGAGGGCTAGATGTGGCATGCTGTTGGTTAATGTCGGTGGAGTGGGGGTTGCTGGAAGGCATGTGATTTCTGCCAAGTTAGTCTGGCAAATTCCCCTGGATGCCAAGGCTGGGGAGTCTCTCAGATAGAGGCCACTGTTCCCTCTGTCCCCACCTCCCTTCCTGACTCCTAAGGGTACAAACATCCAGGGTGCTTGGGCCACTGCCCAGTGACTCTCTGAGGGCCCTAAACTTGGATTGATGGCCTCCAAAATATAAGGATAGCAGAAAACATTCATTATTAATCCTTGCTGCCTTTTGAGGGACATGGATCCTGTTACTTGAAGGGTCCTTTTGTTTTGCTGAGCTCAGGGATGGATTTGGATCCCAAGGCTGGGGAAGGGGCAGGCAGAAGACAAGCCAGGCTCAAATAGCTCTGCCTGTTAAATGGGTGAGAGCTGCAGTGTCAGTGTCAGTGTACTGCAGAGCTCCGAAGGAGAGAGGAGGAACAGCCAGGAAGACCTCTGGTGGTGGCCCGGCCAACAAGGTCTTGCCGGAGGAGTGGTCAAGGGAAGCTTTTAGGTTGTTGGTGGGGTATGCAATGGGATCCCCTCTTCTGTCTCCAGAACTTATTTGAGTTTTTCATTGAGTCTACACACTGCAAATGGATTGAAGTAAAGCCAAGAGGGGCTGAGTTCTGCACCCAGGCTTGGGTGGTCACCAGAGCCAGGAACAAAGAGCTCTCAGCAATGGCAGCTGTCTCTCAGCAAGTGTCAGAGCCCCTCCCTCACACCTGATCCCCTTTCCCCAGTCTCCTACCTGAGATTCTGTGCCACAGGTGTCAAAGCGGGCCTGGATCCTGAAGTTGCTGCCAACTTCCTGGGCAGCACAGCTCCGGCTGCCCAGGTAGATCTTGTTCCGCTCTAGTGGGGCCAGCGTCTGTGCTGAGATCAGAATTTGGAAGTCTGTGCGGGAGCAGCTCACGTTCATGGGCACCACTGGGAATGGGAGGGAGAAGCTGAAGGCCTAGGGGCAGGCAATCTCACCTCTACCCTTCCCACTGCCCAAGGGTGGTAGATGAGGAAACCAGATGCAAAATGTGGAAGGTTCTTATGCAGTCCTACTGGGCACGGTGTGGGATATTTTACATGTGTTGTTCCATTTACTCCCATTCATTTGTCACTTTGTTGTACTGTGGTAGTTGGAAGCTATGCCGCCCATATTTCAAATACCAGCGGAGTCACCCATGGTGGACAGGTCTTAGTGGAGCTTCCACCTAAGACAGACTGGGAAGAAAGATGAGGCCATCCACTTCTGAAAAAATTGGCCACTGGAAATTTTATGCATAGTGGTGAAACACTGTCTGATATATATTAGTGTTCCATTTAACTCCATCCGACTGTGAGCTCCCCAAGGGCAGGCTCCATGTTTAACTCAGCATCTTCTGAGCCTGGCACAGATCTTGGCAAGGGCATTGAATGCAGGATGAGTGACTGACAAAATGAATGAGTGAATATTCTTAATCATAATAAAAGCTACTCTTTACTGATCAGTTTACTATGTGTCAGGTGATTTATTCAACTATTTAACAAGTATTTATTGATGGCCTACTATGTGCAGGCACTATTCCAAGTGCCACAGATTTTGAAATGGGGGGAAAAAACTGTTCAAAAACCCTGCCCTTCATGGAGCTCACGTTCTAGTCATGGGAAGTGGCAATAAATAAGTCAGAAGGAGAGTCAGGAATAGGAGGAGTATATGGAATGTATGGCTAATTGCCTCCATGAACAACTGCCTCCTTTGCCCGGAGACCAGAACTGGATGGTGCTTGGCTACCATTACTGAACATTTTTATCAAAGATTCTCTAGAAGAATCTTGATCAAAAGGGGGGAAATGCTGAATAGAATTTTAAATTCTCATAAACTCCAGCCTTTCTGGAGCCATGGAAGCTAGATAAACCCCTGAAACTATTGCCATGAGATAACCTTTAAATCTTAAACCAAAAATATCCCCTAAAATCTTCTTAAAACCAAACAATTAGTTCAGCTTAATTAGTAACAATGTCTGCCTTGAGCACTGTGCTCTTTCAAGAACTATCTATGTGGGATCAAAGTGACCACAGCAACTGGAAAGATGAGATAGGAAACCGAGGGGAAAGTGAGTTTATGTTAAAGGGGGAGGAACAATTCAGAAAAGGAAGGTGAGAATGGTTATACAACTTGAAGAATCTTATCCATGTCACTGAACTGGACTTGGAGAAACTGTTCAATTGGCGTATGTGTTGCTGTGTATATTCTCAACAACAGCAACAAAAAATAAAACAAATTATAAAAAAATAGAGCAAGAGCTCTGGATGAAATTCAAGGAAGAAATAAGACAGGGAGAGCAGATGGGGTGAGGGAGGATTTGCAATTTTTAAAAGGATGGTGAGGGAGGGCCTCACTGCCCCCTCCCACAAAGATCCCAGACGGTGGGCATGGCTGAATGTGTTTCACTGTTTTGGAAATGCGAGCTCTGAGAGGTGGTGGTATTTGCATTGGCCAGGTTGGAATTTTAACCTTTGAGTCTAGAGGAGTCAAAAGTCTGTGATCTCTCCTCTCTATTTGGTTGTCCCCTGGTCCCCTGCACTCTCCTGGCCAGGGGATGTGAATGTGACTCTAAGTGTCTGGGTGGAGCATATGTGTACATGTGCATGTGTGTGTGGATGGGGGCAGGGAAGAGAGCCAGGTGACTGGAGGCAGGGAAAAGGAGATCGAGCTGGGAGACAGAGGCCTGGAACTCTCCAAGCCTCTACGGGAAATGCCTCAGACATATTTCAGCCTCTGGTGTCTGGGCAGTCAGGGATTTATGGGCCTGCTGTCTCCCACGATGATGGCCATGGCGCTGAACTGTGTGTCACCCCTGATTGATGCCGAGGCCGCCCTTCCAGCAGGAAGGCTGCCTGCAGCCCGGGCCACAGCTGGAGCCTTGGCGGCATAAGCGCCCCTGTCTGACCCTGAGCTCCCACTGGGATCTGGGCAGGGAGGTGGGGTGTGTGTGTGTCTGGAGGCAGGAAGAGGGGGATGCTTCTGCATTGAAGCCCCTGACACAGGAGCCAGGTTAGAGCTGCTCCTACCCTCAGTCTTAGGAGAGACAGACAGGGGAAGGGGCTGGTGCAAAATTACATGGAGCTGGAGAAGACCCCAGCCAGGAAATCAGAAAATGAGAGCCAAAGGGACTCTAAAAATCATTCAGCAAATGTCCTCATTTCACAAATGGAAACCTGAGACCTGGAGGGAGAAAATGATCTGCCACCTAGCTTGATGGAACCTGGCTTTCTGGAGCGCTCATCCAGTCCTCCATCGTCTCCAACACAGAATCAGAGAAGGGGCTTGCTCTGCAGAGGGGCCACAGTGGTCTCTAGCTCTCCTTCCCCAGTTTATGAATGGAGCTGACTGAGGGCCACGGTCACCCCTTTGCCACTAGCTTTAACATGCTTGACTGATAACCAAAAGATTAGCTAGTCCATGTCCACCCAGAGACCCTTCAGAAGAAAGTTCTAGTGATCTACTTCCAAAAAATCAGCCACTGCAAACTCTATGGAGCAAGTTCTACTATGATAAACATGGGACTTCCATGAGTCAGAATCAACTTGACAACTTGTTGCTGGGAGCTTACTGCAGCTATATAACCTTCCCCTCCCTGTTGCTGAGCCTCAAACTCCTCTTGCAGGAGGGTGTGAAAAGAAGAAACACTTTTGACTGCTTAACTGGTCTGAGGCCCACAAGGAAAACAAATCCACACCCAGCAAGGATGTCTTTGGAGCCATGCGCTCTGACCTATGTTACCCATTTCATCTTCACAACCACCTGTCAAGGCACATTTCTCAGCCCCTTTTGCAAATGAGTCCCCTTATTATTGCTGTTAGGTGCCAAGGAGTCATCTCCGACTCATAGTGACCTTATGCACAGCAGAACGAAACACTGCCCAATCCTGTGCCAGCAGGACTTGATCCTTGCTATACCTGAGCCCATCCTTGTAGCCGCTGTGTCTATCCATCTCATTGAAGGCCTTCCCTTTTTTCATTGACCCTCCACTTTACTAAGCATGATATTGTTCTCCAGGGAATGGTTCCTTCTGACAACATGACCAAAGTAGATGAGACAAAGTCTGGCCATTCTCGCTTCCAAGGAGCATTCTGGCTGTACTTCTTCCAGGACAGATTTGTTAGTCCTTTTAGCAGTCCATGGTACTCTTAGCATTTTTCTCCAACACCACAACTCAAAAGCATCAACTCTTCTTCAGTCTTCCTTATTCATTGCTCAGCTCTCACATGCATACAAGGTAATTGAAAATAATGGCTTGGGTTCGGCGCACCTTAGTCTTCAAGGAGATATCTTTGCTCTTCATCACTTGAAAGGTCTTTCGCAGGAGATCTGCCCAATGCAATACACTGTTTGATGTCTTGACTGCTGCTTCCATTGGTGTTGATTGTAGAATCAAGTAATATGAAGTCCTTGACAACTTCAACCTTTTCTCCATTTATTGTGAAGCTGTTTATGGGACCAGTTGTGACGATTTTTGTTTTCTCTGTATTTTGGTGTAATCCATACTGCAGACAGTAGTCTTTGATCTTCATCAGTAAGTGCTTCAAGTCATCTTCACTTTCAACAAGCAAAGTTGTGCCATCTGCGTATCACAGATTGCTAATGAGTCTTCCTCCAATCCTGATGCCATGTTCTTCTTCATATAACCCAGCTTCCCGGATTCTTTACTCAGCATACAAGTAGAATAAGTATGGTGAAAGGATACAACCTTGATGCACTCCCTTCCTGATTTTAAACCATGCAGTATCCCCTTGTTCTGTTCGAACAACAGCCTCCTGGTCTATGTACAGGTTCCTCATAAGTAAAATCAAGTGTTCTGGAATTCCCATTCTTCTCAATGTTATCCATAATTTGTTATGATCCACACAATCAAATGCTTTTGCATAGTCAATAAAACATAAGTAAATATCTTTCTGGTATTCTTTGCTTTCAGCTAAGATCTATCTGACATCAGCAATGATATCCCTCACTCCACGTCCTCTTCTGAATCCAGCTGGCATTTCTACGAGCTCTCTGTCAATATACTGCTGCAACCCAGTTTTGAATTATCTTCTCTAATATTTTACTTGCATGTGATATTAATGATATTATTTGATAATTTCTACATTCTGTGGGATCACCTTTCTTTGGAATGGGTACAGATATGGATCTCTACCAGTCAGTTGGCCAAGTAGCTGTCTTCCAAATTTCTGGGCATAGCTGAGTTAGTGCTTCCAGGGGGACATCCATTTGTTGAAACATCTCAATGGGCATTCCATCAATTCCTGGAGTCTTGATCTTCACCAACTCCTTCAGTGCAGCTTCAACTTCTTCCTTCAATACCATTGGTTCTTGATCATATGCCACCTCCTGAAATGGATGAACATTGACCAATTTTTTTTTTTGGTAGAGTGACTCTGTGTATTCCTTCCATCTTCTTTTGATGTTTCCTGCATCATTTAATATTTAGCCCATAGAATCTTTCAATATTGCAACTCGAGGCTTGAATTTTTTTTCTTCAGTTCTTTCAGTTTGAGAAATGCCAAGCATGTTCTTCTCTTTTGGTTTTCTAACTCCAGGTCTTTGCATATTTCCTTATAATAATTGACTTTGTCTTGAGCTGCTCTTTGAAATCTTCTGTTCAGCTCTTTCATCTTGTCATTTCTTCCATTTGCTTTAGCTACTCTCCACTCAAGGGCAAGTTTCAGAGTCTCTTCTCACATCCACCTTAGTCTTTTCTTCCTTTCTTGTCTTTTTAATAATGACCTCTTGCTTTCTTCATGGATGATGTTCTTGATGTCATCCCACAATTTCTCTGTTTTTCAATCATTGGTGTTCAATGAATCAAATCTATTTTTTAGATGGTCTCTAAATTCAGGAGGGATACTATCAAGGTCAAATTTTGGCTCTTGTGGACTTGTTTTAATTGTTTTCAACTTGAATGTGCATATAAACGCGGTTGATGGTCTGTTCCACAATCAGTTCCTGGCCTTGTTTTGACCAAAGATACTGAACTTCTCCATTGCCTCTTGCCACAGATGTAGTCAATCTGACTGGTAGGTAACAGTCAGTAAATGGCAGCATTTGGATGTGGTCCTGGCTTGTCTGAGCTCTGCCCTGGGCTCCCCTCCCCCAGGCCCTTCCCAGGCACTCAAGAAAGATGTTATGGATTGAACTGTGCCCCTCGAGAAATATGTGACATTCCTACTTATCTATTGTATGTGGTATAAAAATGTCCATGTGTAGTTTAAACATAACAGGAGGCAAAGTTAGGATAACTTATAGCCACAAATAAGCATCTTGAGGGACTAGGTCGCTGGGCCTGTGGGCTGAGGACCATGGTCACAGAGGACATCAAGATAAATGGCACAACATGGTATACAAAAATATTGCTCTACACTTTAGTTCTGTGAGTAGCAACTGGGTCTGAAAAGCTTGTGAGCAGCCATATAACTGGCAACTATTGGTCTCTCCTCATCCAGAGCAAAGAACAACTGAAGAAAATCAAAGATGCATGGAAACAGTTAGTCCAAAAGACTAATGGACCATGAGAACCTCAACCTATATAACCCAGAGACCAGAAGAACTAGATAATGCCCTGCTACCACTGTCAACCACTCAGAAAGGGATCAAAATTGGAGATCCTGGATAGAGTGGGAGAAGAATGTGGAATAAAACTCAAAATTGTAAAAAAAAAAAAAAAAAGACCAGAATTACTGGTCTTATAGAGACTGGTGAAACCCCTGAGACTATGGCCTTGGGTCACCCTTTGGACCTGGAATAAAAAGGAAAAAAGAGAAGGATGTTATGGATTGAAATGTGCCCCCCAGCCAGAAAAAAATATATGTGTTGGAATCCTAACCCCTATACCTGTGGAAAGGAGCCCTAGTAGCACAACAATTAAGCGTTCACTGATAACCAAAAGGTTCATGGTTCAAACTCACCCAGTGGCTCCATGAGAGAAAGACTTGGTGACCTGCATCAAATTCACTTTCCATTGAGTCAAATCCAACTCATAGCAACCCTGTAGGACAGAGTAGAATTGCCCCCAGAGGATTTCCAAGGATGTCATCTTTATAGAAACACACTGGCACATCTTTCTCCCATGGAGCAACTGGTGGGTTCAAACCACCTATCTTTCAGTTAGCAGCCAAATGCGTAACAATTGCACTACCATGGCTCCTCCCATAAAGATTACAGCCTAGAAAACTCTATGGAGTGCAGTTCTACTCTGTCACATCGGGTCCTGTTGAGTCTGTTTTGACTCAATGGCACCCAACAACAATAGCAACATACTGTAAATATAAGCCCATTTGGTAATAGAGTTTTCTTGGTTATGTTAATGAGGCCAATTAGCATAGGGTGTGTCTTAAACACTTTTGAGATATAAAAAGAGCAGATTAGACACAGGAGGAAGCATAAATGATGCCTCAGGAAGACCACCAATAAACCAAAAAACTAGGGGCTAGAGAAGCTGAGACAAGGATGTTCCCCAGAGCCAACAGGGAGCCTTGCACTAGAACTGGTTCCCTGCATTCAGACTTCTAGCCTCCTACACTGTGAGGAAATATATTTCTGTTCTTTAAAGCCACCCACTTGTAGTATTTCTGTTACTGCAGCTCTAGATAACTAAGATGAAAGCAAAGGCAGGAACGTGAGTTCTAGCCTTTGGCCATGCCACTGACTGACTACATGACCAAAGCAAAGTCCTTTCCCTCTCTGCACATCTGTTTCCACATCTGCACCATGGGGAGCTTAGATCTGGCCAGGCAGAGGGAGAAATGGGTCCAAAGCACAGGAATATCTGGGCCCGGGGTCCAGGGAAAGGTGGTGGGAGGAGGAGAAGGGAAGGGAGGAGAGGTAGTGGATACTGTTGGCTCACAAACCTCACTGAAAGAAGAGGGTGGAAAAGCTAAATACCAGCTTGCCAGCCTCCTTTGCAGCTAGGCATGAATAACTGACCCAGTTCAAAGTAATGAGACACAAGATGTCTTTTGAGAGCTTCTGGGAATGCTTTTGCTTTCATAATTAAGGAGCATTTGTGGCTGGCACATCTCCTGTTTCATTTCAGCAGTGAACATGAACAAGATGCCTGGAGTTGTGGCAGCCATCTTGCAATCATGAGGGAAAGGCCAAGAGAATCCCAGAGACACCAGCTGGGCCCCTGAATCAACACAACAGCTGCCTAGCTTTAGACTTCTTATTATGCGTGGAAAAACAAACACCATTTGTTTGAGCCACTGTCAGTCAAGATTTCTGTTGCTGCAGCCAAACCATTTCTAACTGACAAAAGCAAAGCTAGCAGGCATCTCCATGGTTATACCAATTGTTTGCCATCATTAAATGGTACTTAATAATTATCATATTTTGCATGTTATCCCTGAATACAAAGGATCAACCATGGTACTAGAGTGGCCAGGGGCCCCATGGGGGAAGGAGATAGAAATACTAGTTGCCATTAAGTAGATTCCAACTCATGGCAACCCCATGTGAGTCAGTAGACCTGAGCTCTGTAGGGTTTTCAATGATTGTGATCTTTTGAACATAGATCTCCAAGTCTTTCTTTCAAGGCATCTCTTTGTGGATGTGAACCACCAGCCTTTCAGTTAGTAGCCAAGTGCTTAACTCTCCACCAAGCTGGAGAAAGGGGGAATTCAGGATCATGGAATTGGGAGCTGGAAAAAGAGGCTCCACAAGAATGGAATAAGAAAGGATCATATTGGTACCATTTAAAAGGTTCCAGGGGAGTCACTGGCAGGGGTGTAGCCACCCAAGAAGGGGCTAGAGACCATTCATGGGGATCAGGACTAGCTGGTGAGATGAAGAAGGAACTTGCAAAGACCTGGGGCCCCTGCCTGGCCTTCCCCAACCAGTGCACTACACCTTCAACCCCAGCTGACCTCCAATGTAGGCAACAGAGAAGCCCCTGTGGGTGGTACTGAGGTCCGTGTGCAACAGAAGCAGGAGCTGGTTGTGGCTGGAGGTGATGGGTGGTGGCAGCTGGTGGCCACACCAATTCCCCAGCAGGGGCGCCTCCTCACTGGTCCCATCGAAGGCTGCCAGATGGTCAAAGTCACAGGTCCTGGTCAGGCTGTTGGGGCCCTCCAGGTCCAGGTCCAGGAAGAAGACCTTGACCCGGTAACCAGGAGGCAGGCGGATGGTCCAGTGGCACCGAATATTGTTGGGGTAGGAGCTGGGGTACTGTGGGCTGGAGAAGTTACCCCGCATGGACGTGTACACCTCCTGGCATTCTCCTGGGAGGGGAAAGAGGGTGGAAGGAGTGATGGTGAGGAGGGTAGAGACTGTCACCCTCTGCTGCTATGCCTTTAGCAGCAGGTGTTAAGGAAGTCCTAAACCCATCCCAGCAGGCTGTGGGTACCATGACCAGCAAACCAGACAACTGATCCCAACACCTGCTTTAAACTGAAACCAGCTGAGAGCTGGGACTCTCATTCCAATTGGAATCCCTAGGGAGTGCTGGCCACTGTTAAGGATTCAATAATAATACCCTAATACCTGTCTTCAGAGTTGAGTCCAAAGCCCCTGGCTTGACAAACAAGGTAGTTTGTGACCCAGCATTACCCCTTTTCTCACTGCCCTTCACCCACCCTTTACATTCCAGCCCCAGCAAGCACCTAGTAGTAGAAGCACACCAAACCCTCTCTATCCTCCATGCCTTTGTACATGCTGTTCCTCTGCTTGGAACACCCTTCCCTTCCTTCTGCCTCAGGATAGTTCCTTCAAGGCACTGATCAATTCTCTCTTCCTCCAGAAAGTCACCCATGATTCTTCCTGTTACATAGCAGAGAGCACTATGGGTTGTCGTTGTTAGTTTCCTTATTCATCTCCCTCACTAGACTGGGAACTCCTCAAGGGTTCATTCATTCATTTCTACAAACATTAATTGAGTATGTGCCAGGTACAAAAGATAAGACCATAAGGAACTCATAGTTAGGCAGGGGAGATGGACATGCAAACCACATAGACAAGTGATAAGCATTAGCTCAATGTTATGAAAAAGCTTCTATAAGGAGGTAATGGAAGAGATTAATTCTATCTGAGTGAATCAGGGAAATCTTCACCGAGGAGTTGACACACTCACGCCTTGGCATCGGCCAGGCAGAGTAGGTTGTGGAGAGCACTCCAGGCCGAGAATAGAGAAAGTGCAAGGCCCCAGATGGCAAAGCATAACCCCTCCAATCATAGTGGGGAGACAAGAGTCCCACATGCCCAAGGGATCTAGCAAGTGTAGCTCCAGCCCCTCCTACCTGAGAAGTAGTAGGCCTTGAAGCCCCGGCCTCCAATGTTGAAGTCAGACTTGAAAACCACTTGCAACTCATGGCCCAGGGACACGAGGGTGGGGGGCCTGGCACTACCACAGTAGTGATGCCCATGAGCAGGACCTGGTCCCCCGAGAACGGCCACGTAGTCATAGTTGCACTCCTCGTTGCCCTCCACCTGGAAGTCTGTGAACACCAGCTTGACAGTAGCGGGGCCAGTGGCCCGGATCACCCAGCGGCACTCCACGTTATTGGGGTAATTGTTGGGGTACTCAGGGCTGGTGAGGACCCCTGACAGGCCTGTCAGGACGCCACCGCACATATCTGCAAGGGAGCCAACTTGGACTGATCTTTCTCTCTCCCCACAGCTCCCCAATCTCCTCCCTTAGGAATGAGACACACACACACATCCCACCCCATCCTGCTGTCTACACAGGCTCTCATTATCATTCACTGAGGCCTGAAAATTAGCACGTGTGCCATCTTTTTAAACATTTACCATAACCCTAGGAGGAATGTACTGTTGTTTCTCCCATTTTACAGGTGAGAAAAACAGAGGCACAGACAAATAACTTACCTGTCTGAGTTTGGGTTTGTCCAATGACAGACCTTGAGACAAGGATTTGAGCATAAGGAATTAATTTGGGAGGTGTAGGGGGCCCTAGGTGGGGAGTGAGGGAAGGAGACAGTGAAGAGGAGATGCTGCCTACCCTAAAGGGTACTGTCAAGCCAGTTACAAATGGGCAATGGCTGCTGAACCCTGCTGGAGAACCCTGGGAAATGGTGGAAAACATGCACCTCAGAGTTATGTCACCCTAGGAGTGAGGGAACTGGGGTGTTTATATACTAATTCCTGAGAGTCCAGGTCAAGGGCTGCTGGGATATAGGGGTGACCTTCTGGCTTCGGGAAAAAAGTCCTCAAGTGGAGATGTGGAGGTGGCCAGGAGCACACTGAAGTGGCAAGGCCCTGACAGCAGGTCACCCAGCTGGTGACAGGGTGAGTGGGTCTTGAACCCAGGGAGAGTAATTGTAGAACCTGGGCACTTAACCCTTGTCACCGTCACTGCCCTCTCCTATCAGGCCAGGGAGCACAGAAGCTGGCATGAATCAGGCATGTTGTCAAACCTCCCTAACAGATGAAGAAACTGAGGATTAGACAGAAGATATGATGAAGTAAAGGTGGGATTGAAGTCTGAAGACAGGTGTCCTTCCAGCTTTGCCTTTTGTTTGTTGTGTGACCCTGGGCAAGTAACCCAACCTCTCTGAGCCTTGTCTGAATATCAGAAATCATAAAACCTGCTGAGCCTCACCCACAGGGCTCAGAGTCATGCAGAGTCTAAGAAGATGCTGGTGAAAGCCCTTAGGAATCCAGCACAGCCTACACAACTATGAGGCAGGTGAGGATGAGGATGAGCATTGTAACTGGCTCGTGGCTACCTACAGGAAGGGGCACACTCAGGATGTATTTCCTGAGACTCCAGGATCTCACCCATGGCCTGGGTGTGTGAATGGAGTATTGGGCTGGGTGTCTCAAGACTTAGCTTCTTGTTCCAGTGCTGCCCCTCCAGCTATGTGGCATTGGACAGGCACATTCCCTCTCTGGGCCTCAGATGTATTGTTTGTAAAATCAGAGAACAGGTTTAGATCGGCTGCAAGATCTTTTCCAATGCTAATATCCTCAGCAGAGGCTTCCAAACTGTGCTCCAGGGCTTGTGGGTATCTACAGGCATGTTGTTGTTGTTATGTGCCATCAAGTCAGCCCGACTCATAGCGACACGTCCTTGGGTTTCCAAGGCAGTATCACTATGGAAGTAGGTTGCCCAACCTTCCTTCCAAGGAGTGGCTGGTGGGTTTGAACCGCCAGCCTTCTGGTTAGCAGTCAAATGCCTTAGGCACTATGCTACCAGAGCGCCCATCTACAGGCATAGGGGGCAAATTTCATTCTTCTGTTTAGTTCAAACCATTTATTTTTCAAATGATTTTTTCATGTAATTAAAAGACAGCACCCAGTCATATGTCATATCTGTAAAAATTTAACTCGATGGAAGCCATCAATATTGACTTGTGTTTTCAATGGTTGGCGTTGTTGCTGTTGTTAGGTGCCAGCGAGTCTTTTCTGGCTCATAGCGACCCCATGCATAGCAGAACGAAACACTGCCTGATCCCGCTCCAGCTCCATGATCCCTGCTATACTTGAGCCCATCATTGCAGCCACCATGTCAATCCATCTCGTTGAAGGCCTCCCCCTCTTTCATCGATCCTCCACCCTACTAAACATGACATCCTTCTCCAGGGAATGGTCCCTTCTGACAACATAGATGAGACCAAAATAGGTAAGATGAAGTCTGGCCATTCTCACTTCCAAGGAGCATTTCGGGTGCACTTCCTCCAGGACAGACCTGTTAGTTCTTTTAGCAGTCCATGGTTCTTTCAGCATTCTTTGCCAGCACCACAAGTCAAAAGCATCAACTCTTCTTCCTTATTCATTGTCCAGCTCTCACATGCATACGAGGTGATTGGAAATATCATGGCTTGTGTCAGGCGCACCTTAGTCCTCAAGGAGACATCCGTGCTCCTCAGCACTTGAAACAGTTCCTTCCCAGTTGACT